TCCCTCTTAGTGGGTGTTCAGTGCACATAGTTAAGGGGAGGACCCTGTGGGGGTAGGGATGACACAGGCGACCCAGTTGCACCGTAACGAATGACGTCTCATGTAATTCCCACTCTGAACTCCAGCCAAGCCTGTCGCCCTTCACTGGGGCAGCTGCCTTGAGGCCAGACTTAGATACACACACACACACACAGAGCTGCCTGGAGGACAGGCTGAGACACACACACACACACACACACACACACACACACACACACCCTGCCTTGACGCCAGGCTGAGACACTCACTCACTCTCTCACACCCCCCCTCCCACATACACCCTGAGCTCTAACTGTTGCTGTGCCCAGCTGACCTCCTCTCTCGCGCCCTCTCTGCCCGGCCTGGGCTGACAGGTGGCTTAATGAACTCCTGGAAGCGCCGCTGGTGCGTCCTCAAGGACGAGACCTTCCTGTGGTTCCGCTCCAAGCAGGAGGCCCTCAAGCAAGGCTGGCTGCACAAGAAAGGTGGGGGCTCGTCCACGCTATCCCGGAGGAACTGGAAGCGGCGCTGGTTTGTCCTCCGCCAGTCCAAGCTCATGTACTTCGAGAACGACAGCGAGGAAAAGCTCAAGGGCACGGTGGAGGTCCGCATGGCCAAGTACGTGCAAGGGGTGGTGGTGGCCGGTGAGGGGCCCTGGGCCCTCCTGCTTCCTGTGCTGGGGTGAGGGGCGCCTCCTCCGCGTGCTTCCCACTGCTGCTGTGTCCTCGTTAGGGGGGCACATGGCCCCATCGTACTGATTTTAGCTTAGATCAGTCAGAATACTAAACTCACTGCTGTTGAGTTGGCTCACAGGAGCCGTCCAGGACAGAGGACAGCTGCCCCGGCGGCTTCCTCGCCCCTGGTGGTGTCGTCTCGGGGATTTGTGCTGCTGACCCCCGGTCGTGCCTTTCAGCTCCACCAGCCTCTTTGTGGGTCAAAGATGGGCCAGTGTTAAGAAGAGAGGCCTCACCCTCGGAAAAGAAGGCCCTCATCCCTCCACCCTCCAGGACCCTGACCAAGCCAGCAGCTCTCCTCAGGGAGCAGAGAGGAGTTTTCCCTCCTCGTAAGGCCACCCAGCCTCCATCCTTTCTTTAAAAATTATCTGAAGCATGCTTACAGTGGTGTAGGCTTCCGTTGGCTCCCAAGTCTGTGGTGTTTGAGTGCAGCTGCTCCCTCGGCGCTTGTCCACACCTGATGTGTGTTGTGTGCGTCCTCTGTAGAGAGATCGTGGACAACACCACCAAGGAGAACGGGATTGACATCATCATGGCTGACAGGACCTTCCACTTGATCGCCGAGTCCCCAGAGGACGCCAGGTGAGGCTGGTGCGGCCCAGCTCCTCACGTGGGCTGGGTCCTCACGTGGGTCCCCCTCTGGGCTGGGGCAAGTGAAGCCCTGTCAGTCCCTGAAATATGAGGACTTGTCCTGGGCGAATCTTTCACTAGTTGGGGAGACTTTTGTCATCGCTGAAAGTATTGATGTCAACAATGCTACTACACATGGCTGAAAGCTCACCTTCTGGAAGGTTCCGAGGTTGGAACACAAATGATTTGTGTTGGCTTCTCAACTCTAATTGCCCTCTAATCAGAAGTGACTCATAGCTGACCCTCCAGCGGGTGTTTGAACAATGACTAGGGAGGATAGAAGGAGAATTGACGCCTTTGAGCTGTGGTGCTGGAGAAGAGTATTGAATGTACCATGGACTGCCAAGAAAACAAACAGATTCATCCTGGAGAGGGTTAAACCAGGCTGCTCCTTGGAGGCAAGGATTCTGGGGCTTTGTCTGACATACTTTGGACATGTTGTAAGGAGAGACAGGTCCTTGGAGAGGGACATCATGCTTGGGAGGGTGGAGGGACAGCGCAGGAAGGGAAGACCCTCTATGTGCATTGATTCAGTGACTGGGGTAATCAGGTTGGGTGTGTCAGAAGCAATGTGATTAGCACAGGACAGAACAGGGTTTAGGGCTGTTGTCTATAGGATCTCTATGAGTCGCAAGTGACTCGACGGCACATAATAACAACAACAGCAATAAATCACACTGGAGGAGAGTGCCCATATCCTTCTTCCTGAGACCTGTTGATGGATTCGAACCACTGTGTGTTATTAGCGGCACAACTCCCTGCTAACTAAGGCCTTCGTGAGTCTGATGAGTGATTCTGTGGGGCATTTTAGAGTGTTTATAAGGTCAGGCTAACAACCCCTGGTGGTGCAGTGGTCAGCGACAAACCAGAACAATGGAAATTCAAAGACTTGGCAATTCATTCTCCAAAATGACAGCCTAGAATGGCCTATGGGCCAGTTCTGCTCTCAGGTTGGGGCTGTGAGTGAGAAGTGTATGTACTAGCACCTAACAAGTTAGGTCCAAGCATGTGCTTTTTCAAGCACTGGTCCCTCCTGACAACAGGCTCAGAGTATATGAGGTGAAGTTTCACCATCCTTGCCTCTAAGGAGCAATCTGGCTCCACATTGTCCAAGATGTTTGCTTTTTTGACAGTCATGGGATGGATATGCAGTACTCTTCTCCAACACCACAGCTCAAAGGCATCAGGTCTTCTTCAGTGTTGATCTGTGGTCCAGTTTCACCTGCACATGTAGCAACTGAAGATACCATAACTTAGATGAGATGTACCTTGGTGGTAACGGGCCTGCTCTTTTGCACTTTAAAGAGTCCCTTCACAACAGATTGGTCCAATGTTGTCATTTATCACCTATTGTATGTAAAATTCTTAGTCAAGATCTTTGATAAAAGTATTTTAGATGAAACTGAGGATTACATTATCTGAGGATTGTCAGTTTCTATAGAGAGAGCTACGTTGGCCTAGTAGACAGAAAGTTATGCTACAAAGCCCAAGGTGGGTTGACTTTAATCTGTGGCCCTTGGGCCTGGTTCAAATTGGGTTTTTGTGAAACATTCTTCTAAGTGGTCTAGCACTGGTCTGTGCATTGCTGCATAGAGGTTGGTGGTTGCTGTGAAGATGAACACTGTGACACTGATGTGCCAAATATGTTAATGGTTACCCATGGTGGACGGTGTTTTCTGGAGCTTCCCAACTAAAACAAGCCTGGAAGCAGGAACGGCATCCACTTCTGAAACGGCTTGCCTCTGGAAACTCTATGAACAGTGCTCAGGCCTTTCGTTCATAGGGTCATGAGAGTGGAGGGAAGGCATCTGCCAACCTCCCTCTCTGTACTGGATGGTGAAAAGGAACTTGGGCAGCTCCGCGGCCGGGTCACTGGGGGTTGTCCAGTCTCACATCCCCGTGACGGGGGTACATGGAACGCCTGGGATCTCGGGGAGCTGTCTTCTGCCCGGCGTGTGGAGCGTGGTGCCATGTGGTATAAACCAGGGGTGACTGTCGGTCACTGGGTCTCTTCTCCTCACAGCCAGTGGTTCAGTGTGCTGAGCCAGGTCCACGCGTCTACCGACCAGGAGATCCGGGAGATGCACGACGAGCAGGCGAACCCCCAGAATGCTGTGGTGAGTGGGAGCCCCGCACGTGAGGGGGCCGCGGCGATGAGAGGGAGGGAGCGTGGAGAGCGGCCCCAGAGGGAATCTTAAAATGTAGTCATTGAGTTGTTAGGTTTTAGGTTAGTTCCAACTCACAATGACCCTCTGCCCAACAAAATGAAATGCTGCCTGGTCCAGCTCCTCCCACACAATTGTTGCTGTGTTTGGAGGGCCTTCTGGTGTAATGCATTACATGCTCGCTGCTGACTGAAAGGCCAGCGGTTCGAATCCACCAGCGGCTCCTGGGGGAGAAAGATGGACAGTCCCCTCCTGTACAGTTTTATAGAGTGGACAGCAGCGGCTTTGATTTGCATTTTGTGGGGCGTCCTGTGGTGTAGGATTGCCCAGAGTCAAAGCTGACTCAGCAGCACAAGAACGAAGTAACTGACACGGTAAAGTGAATTGAGAGGTAAAGTGGAGCCGACTCATGAGGAAGATCCAAGCTGAGCTGGATTAACGCGGTAGCCACGACAGCACTCTTCAGTGAGCCGTGGTCGTGGAGATGGTGCACGTCGCTCTGGTAAAAGTCACCAAGAGTTGGTGCCCAGGTGACCGTAACCATTGCCGACGTAATGCAAGAGAACACAGGGACGCTTGAATTAGAAATCACGCAGAGAAACACTAAGAACTGTAAGAGATTATACGTGCTGTTAAGTTTACCGTTCCCTCACCTTAGACTTTTCTTAAAAGAGCATCAGACAAAAGTTCTGGCTCTGCTGCTGCTTCGAAGGGTCTGAAGCCAAACAAAGGCTGCTCCGTGGGTCTTCATCCCCACTCACTCATACACGGGCGCTTTAGAAATAAAGGGGGTTGGTTGGTTTGTTTTGCTTTTGTTTGTTTTTTAAATTTATTTTATTATTTTTGTGTGTGTGTGCCATCAAATCAGATCTGACTGGCACAGGAGAAGATTGCCCCTCCTTCTCCAGCCAGAGCATCTGGTGGATTCAAACCGCGTACATCTGGGATTGCAGTGCAGTTTCTTGCCACTTAGGCCACCAGAGCTCCAGAAATAGGGTTTTTTATTTGCTGTTTCCTTACCTCAAACCTCATCCCTGTAGACATTTGTGACAGAAAGTTGCACTGTGAGTTGGAAAATCCATGTTCTTGAAATACATCCGTAAACTCTTTTGAGAATAAGAGGGAAAGGTAAGTTCATTATTTTTAAAAATAAGTGGACAGATTCTGCCCCGCTGGAGACTCTACAGTCACCACATGAGGGGGCTTCGTTTGGACACACTGTTATTTTGCAGGTAACAAACAAAGACGGAAAGAGTCCTTTTGTGCTATTTTTGTTTGTTTGTTCAGGGAGTTGTAATTTAGGGCTCTTGATGTAATTGAGGGCTTTATTTCTGTGGTTTTCTCTCCCTCTCTCTCAGGGCACCTTGGACGTGGGACTGATTGATTCTGTCTGCGCTTCTGACAGTCCCGACAGGTAAGCTCAGGTGTGCCCACCAGGCCTTGGTGCTTGGCGTCCCACTTGTCGTGACTGAGCTGTGAATGAGCCCAGGCTTCATGCCCCTCCCTGCAGGTCAACCCTCGTGACCCAGAGTCTCCTTTCTTGGGACCCAATTTTACATTCTCTAGAAGTCTTCCTTGGAGGTCTCTTTGGAGTGAGCGCTAAAAGACAAACCTGGAACCTCAGACAATTTGTGAAAAATACGGGGCTATCCTTTATTATTATTTTTTTAAAAACTTTGGACACAGAAATGACCTTGAGATTTGTTCTGGAAAAAAAGATGATTGTGTAGGAAAGTGCATTCCAGCAGAGGGCAGCCTTGTTGTCCCTGTCCTGATCTTGATATGCTTGAGAAGGAGGTTGATGGAAAAGTGTGTGGGGTTATGAAGTCATTAAACACAAACATCTGTGATTCTTGTCAAACTCTTTATCCCAGATGAAAAACACTCTACCTTGGATTGGTTCTGATGTGTGGGATACCATTGTGGGGGGTACATATTTCTCTCTGGGAGGATTTGGACCACCATTCTCTCAATCCGCAGCCGTTTCTGTATTCCTAGTGCCTCACAATGTAACGTGTGTTTGTGTTACCATCTTTGTGTTTTTGAGGCTTCTTCCCTTCAGAAATGGTCGTAGCGCGATCTGTACCTACTGACCTCATCTTTATTCTCCCCCCCCCCCCCCCGTGATTATGCGTTCTACTTCAAGTTACCAGCAGAACGGTGGCCCTCGACGCAGAATGACAATCAGAACAAATTTCTGCCCTCGGTCAGATAGTGTTAGGATGATCCCCACCGGGCAGATATTGGGGGCTGTGTGTTGATTTAGTGGTTGAACGTGTCCACTCAGAATACCTGTGTTTGATTCCCAGCCACTATATCCCATGCTCAGACACCACCCATTTGTCCTTCTCGCTCAGTCAGTTGGTGCCATGATACTGAACAGGTTTCAGTCCATGTCCATGAAGGGCTGGGTTCAGGAAAAGACTTGAATATGCTTCTAAAAGCCCGCCCAGTAAGCCCTGAGGGGGACAAACTCTGATCCCGCTGTGCGGTGTTTTGGGAACAGCACCCAGCAATGAAGGACACCGTTAGAGCACAGGGTCTCTCGCCCCACTGCCATGAAGGCTTTCCTGCACCCTCTGTTTCCTGAATCACCCTGTGTCAACCCCTGCAAGGTCTTTAACCCCCGCCCCCAGCGTGTTCTGTCACACTTGGAGACTCCGTCGTCTTTGATTAGGATCATATTCCCACCTTGCCTTACCTCCACGTTTCCTCTTCCAAGTCACTTCACTCCGCCAGGCAGGGTGGTGATCTGAGCTCAGAGCTTTGCGTTCCTGCACAGACATCACCCCTTTCCTCAAATGCCCACCTTTTTCCTATCCCAACTCCAGAAATGTCTTTCATTTGTCTTCAGGGGAACTTGACATCCTCCTTTTTACATTTTATCCTGGCTACTGAAACCGAAAACCAAGCCATTTGTTCCGGCGTGGATTCATGACAGCCCCATCTGCATCAGCGTAGAACTGCAGTCCACAGGGTTTTCAGTGGCCGATGGGTTAGCTGTAGACTGCCAGGCCTTTCTTCCAATACACTTCTGGAGACACTCAAACATGTGACCTTTTGGTTAGCGGCTGGGGACATTAAGCTTATGCACCACCCAGTGGCACCTCCCTGGCTGCCACTGCTGCTCTTAAGTTAGAACCCTGTGAATGAGGTCTCCATTGACTGGATTTGAGAAGATCACCAGGCCTTTATTTCTAGTCTGACTTGCTCTAGACTCTCCGTTGAAACCTGTCCATTATAGGCGCTCACACGACTCCGTTAGTTGATGGCCAGCGTGACTCTAGTGTGGAGGGTGAGAATCGCACCTCCGAGCTCACACCACCCTTCCCAGGCCCTGCCGGCCAGTCACTCTCATGTCCTTGAATTTATCACTTCGTTACAATGAACTCTTGCAAGAGGTCCTGGTCTCTAGCTTTAAGCAGTTAGAGTAAGGATTTAAGAAATTAAAAGATGGATTGTGATGGCAAAGTCTTCTGTTAGGGACCTTCCAAAGTACTGAAGAGCAGTGGTGTCACTCTGGAGACTAAGGTGCGTCTGATACAGGCCATGGTCTTTGCAATCAGTTGTTATGCATCAGAGAGTTGGACAATGACTAGGGAGGATAGAAGGAGAATTGATGCCTTTGAGCTGTGGTGTTGAAGAAGAGTATTGAATGTATACCATGGACTGCAAGAAAAACAGATTCATCCTGGAGAGGGTTAAACTGGGCTGCTCCTTGGAGTCAAGGATTCTGAGGCTTGGTCTGACATACTTTGGGCATGTTGCAAGGAGGGACCAGTCCTTGGAGAGCAATGTCATGCTTGGGAGGGTGGAGGGACAAGGCAGGAGAGGAAGACCCTCTGATATGGATTGATTCAGTGACGGGTTATCGGAGTGGGTGTGTCGAAGACAGTGAGGTTGGCACAGGACAGAGCAGAGTTTAGGGCTGTTGTACATAGGGTCGCTATGAGTCACAAGCACTTTATGGCACATAACAACAACAACAACAACAACAGAAGAAAGGGTTCAGAAGGCGCTCTCGTGACCTAGTGGTAAGGAGATGAGCTGCCAGCCCTAAGCCACATGGTTCGAATCCATCAGGTGCTCTGTGGGACAGAAAGACAGTCTCCTCCCTTGCAGTTAACTGTCTCTGACTGGAGGGTCAGCTACAAGTGGGTTCTGACCCAAGGGTACATAATAGTCACGGCATGAAGGGTTCAGGGAGCCCCGTGGCAAGGCGTTAAGGGCAATAGTTCAGCCTCACCAGCCCCTCCACAGGAGAAAAGGCTCAGTAATCGCCCCATAAATATCACAGATGAGAAAATCCATGGGACAGTTCCACGCTGCCCTGCAGGGTTTGTCTGAAGGAGAACTGACCTGATAGGACTCAGAGGCAGCTAGAGCGGGCTTCACGGACAGCCCTGGGAGCACAGCAGGTTGAGCTCTTTACTGCTAGCTTAGAGGTTAGCAGTTCAAACCCACCTACAGAGCACTTACAGAAGCCTCAGAAAACAGGCCTGACCATTGACTTCCCAGACAGTTCTGCTCTCCACACATGGGGTCACCATGAGTCAGGAAGTCCATTTCCAGTGTCCCTCGAGCCGTGATTGAAATGCACCTCTGTTAGATGGCTCTGTCAGCAGGACCCAGGTGGCTTCTCTGCACAGGTGGAATCCAGCGTGGCTGGTCCTCTGCGAGGGGTGCCTGACAGGCATCCCCAGGGCGCTTGGAAGCAGGATCCAAGTGCACACGGAGGCAGAAGGACATGGATGCTGGAGCAGCATCAAAAAAAATTTTTCCCCTGCGGTCACCTTATTTAGCTTTCCTGGAACCAAGCTGCTTCTGGAAAGTTTTGCCCCAAGAAATGTTTTTCCTTCCAGGGCCTTCCGAGTGTGTCGTTCCAAATTTTAAAGGTTAATGATGCTCAAAATAAACCTCCCGCTGAAATGAGCAATATTTGCCCTCCGGTAAAATACAAATAGCGCAGCAGGCTCGATCCCGTGACCGGGATCACCCGGGAAAGGGGCGTTTCTGCCCGGGTCAAGCGGGTGACGCCAGCCCGCACAGCTCAGAGGCCCTGCTCCCCTGTCTCCCGCCTCCCAGACCCAACTCGTTTGTGATCATCACGGCCAACCGCGTCCTTCACTGCAACGCAGACACGCCCGAGGAGATGCACCACTGGATCACGCTGCTGCAGAGGTCCAAGGGGGACACCCGCGTGGAGGGCCAGGAGTTCATCGTCAGAGGTGATGCTCCGTGCGGCCCGTGTGCGGGCGCCTGGTCTAACAGTATAAATAGCAGAGCCCATCTCGCGGCTTCACCTGCTTGTTTGCTAGTCTCGTTCTGCTTTTTTGCTAGTCTCGTTCTGTCTGCGTAGATTTCTGCACCATTTCCATCTCTGCCTTGAGCGTCTGATCCGAGTAACCTTGCCCCTGGAGATTTGCTATGTCTTGCTTTTCAATCCTGTAATGAGAAATGACTGTGGTTATTTCTGGAGTCCCAGGGTGGTAGAGCTAGATGCATGACCACCAGGAATTCGGTGGTTCAAATCCACCCAGAGGTGCCTTGGGAGACAGGCTTCCAGAAGGTCCCAGGTTCCTCGACCCCACACAGCAGTTCTGCTCTGCACACCTGGGAACGCTGTGAGTCAGAGTTGATAGGAAGCGTCTATCCTTTCTATTATTAACATTTTCTGTTATAACGGGATAGTTTCTAGCAAATGTGTAGAAATCAGACCCGTCTAGAAGACTCATTTCTATGAGCTTCTCACTGATCTGTAAGTGTTAGGCAAATTGCCGTCTGGCACTGGGTTTCTTACCATAGTGTTTTGTTTGGTTTTTGGTTTTTTTTGTTTTGTTTTGTTTTTGGTAACAGGATAAAAACAGATAGACGCTCAACAGCACTGGGTTTCTTACCATAGTGTTTTGTTTGGTTTTTGGTTTTTTTTGTTTTGTTTTGTTTTTGGTAACAGGATAAAAACAGATAGACGCTCAACAGCACTGGGTTTCTTACCATAGTGTTTTGTTGGGTTTTTTTTCTTAGTCCTTTTTTTGGAAATAGGGTAAAAACAGACCCACGCAGCAGCTATTTCCAATGCTTTGTCTGTGCCTGATCTCATGGTTTTCCCTGCATTTTGGCACTTTTCGTCATGTTTCATTTCCACCTTCAAGGATGGTTGCACAAAGAGGTTAACAACAGCCCGAAGATGTCGTCACTGAAGCTGAAGAAACGTTGGTTTGTGCTGACCCACAATTCCTTGGACTACTACAAGAGCTCAGAGAAGAATGCCATCAAGTTGGGCACCCTGGTCCTCAACAGCCTCTGCTCCGTCGTCCCTCCAGATGAGAAGATCTTCAAAGAGACAGGTGAGGTGCTCAGGACTGACCCGAGCCGGGCGTGGGGCAGGACACCCCGGAGGCCGAGGCTGAGGCCAGGCGGGCTTAGCCTGGGGAAATGGAACTCCTCTTAGACCATCTCATTCCCCTCCTGAGACTCTCTCCTCTTTGTTGATGGATTGTCTGGGTCTGGTTTTGGCTGGCTATGCAAACACAGAATTTCAATATAATAACAAGGGTTTGTATCAGGTTTCAGAAACACTGGTTGAAATATTAACTGCTCACTGAAAAGTCAGTGATTTGTACGCACCAGTGATTCCATGGAAGACAATCTGTGAGGGGTTTGTTCTCATAAAGATAAGGGTTAGGAAGCCCCATGTGGAAGGTACACTCCCTTCTTCAGGGTCTCCAGTTGACAGGACGCTGCACACCCCTGACCAGGGGAGGCCTTCGTTACCTGCGTGATACTGATGGTCAAAGTGCTTGGCTGCAAATGGACAAGTTGGAGGTTTGAGGCCACACAAGACATCTCAGAAGAAAGGCCTGATGATCTCCATTCAAACCTCTGTCGGGCACAGTTCTACTCTGTCTGACCGTGGGGTGACTGGGAGTCGCATTCAGCTCTGCGGCAAAGCATTGAAGGTGGTCTTTATTTATTGAGTTGTAAGAAAGGTTCTTAAAAGGAAAAAAAAATAAAAATACAGAGTATCCCCTGGAAAGTCGTCATTTTTTTTTTCTCTCCACATGCAACCTAAATACAATCAATCTCAACTGTCGGTAAAGCTAAGCTTGAAAAACATGAGTGTAGTGATAAATTTTCCCTCCGTTTTTGGTGTAATAAAATTTCTGAAAGTCTGATTTATTATGATACGTGTTTCAGTTGTAATTTCATGCTTTTTTTTTTAATTAATCTTGATGAAAGTTTACAGAGACTTAGGGTTTCCAGTCATTCATTGTTGTACTTTTCTCCCTGCCCCCCGCCTTCTCCCACTTCACTGTTCTCTTTAAAAAGTAAAAGAAAAACTCTTTCATTGTTATCCCTCCCCCCAAGTCCTCTCCACTGTGCAGCCTTCATTCTGGACTCCTGTCATGACAATAATACCCAATCATATATCCTTTTTAAACAGTTCTCTCCCTCATCTGTTTCAGTAGACATCATTCCTGCACTACTGGGAATTTACCCTAAAGAAACCATAACTGCCACCCAAGCAGATTTATGCACATCCATATTTATTGCGGCTTTGTTCTCAATAGCAAAGAGCTGAAAACAACCCAAATGCCCATCAACAAACGAATGGATAGAGACGCTCTGGTATATTCCACATGGAATACTAAGCGGCATTGAAAAACAAAGAACTCATGAAATATTATGCAAAATGGATGACCCTGGAGGACATTATACTGAGTGAAATATCTCAGTCACAAAAGGACAAATATTGCATAGGGCGACTGTTGTAAAACGGGACTGATATCGGGGTTGAGGGAAGACATGCTTTCTTTTAAAAAAAATAAATAAATAAAGTGCTTCTTCTGTGTCAGATTCCAGGAGCTGGTTCAGAGGAGAGGCCTTGTTTCAGAACAGACTGACGAGCACGCATTTCCCTTTGGAGAGGTCAGACAGAGTAGGGATTGTTGTGTTCTTATGTCTTTATTTAAGGGCCAGTAGCTGAGACCTGGTGTCATACCTGGAGTAAGCCTGTCTCACGTCACAGGGTGATCAGTATGATTAAATCCTCGTTGGAGGCTGACTTAAAGCGATTAGAGTTTCAGGCCCACCCAGAGGCACACGGAAGGCAGGCCTGGTGATCTGCTTCTAAAAAATCTCAGCCTTGGGAAATGTTCTGCCTCACAGTTCTGCCCAGAGGCACTGTGGAAATCAGCGTGACAGCGCGGGTCCAGCACCTTGGGGAGCACATGATAGGATTTATCTTAGTGTCCGTGTAGATTTGCTCGTTCAGCTTGCCTTCCCCTCTCGGCTGTGACGTGGCAGGGCAGGGTGGGCATCCTGACTGCTCCCCAAGGGGCCCGGTGTGGGTGACAGCAACTGACTGATGCTGAGATCCTGGTGTCCAGCCATGAGAGGGGGACCTGGGGCCTAAAGCAGAGTATTAACGTGTGCACCCTGCTGCCGTGACAGGTTACTGGAACGTCACCGTGTACGGGCGCAAGCACTGCTACCGGCTCTACACTAAGCTGCTCAATGAGGCCACCCGCTGGTCCAGCGCCATCCAGAACGTCACCGACACCAAGGCCCCCATCGACACCCCCACACAACAGCTGATCCAAGACATCAAGGTAAGGGGCAGCCAGGCGTGCCAGGGCGGGCAGTCGGGCAACCGAGCCTCCAGCCCATCACTGTGGATACTGTGAGGTGACTCCGGACAGCTCCGGCTCGTACAACCCTGCACACGGCAGAACGGAATCCTGCCCGGTGCTCACAAACACTGCTGTGTGTAGTAAGTGCATTTCTGCAGCCCCTGTGTCCAGGCATCTCATTGATGTCACTTACTCTGTCGTTGTCAGGTACCACTGAGTCACTTCTTTCTCATACATCCATTGACACTGTCCGAGCAGTCTGGGCTGTGTTTGAGCCCATTGTTGTTGTCAGTGTGTCCGTCCATCTTGTTAGGGGTCATCCTCTCTTTCCCTTGACCCTCCACCTTTCCCAGCACGATGTCCTTTACCAAGGACTGGCTTGTCCTGACAACATGCAAAAATATGTGAGGTGAAGTTTTCCCCATCCTGGCCTCAAAGGCAAGGATGCCCCCTGGTTGCACTTTCCCCAGGACAGACTTGTTTGTCCTTCTGGTGGTCCGTAAGGTACTCACTTGCTGCTGGACACAAACGCCACAATTCAGAGGCATCCGGGTATTTTTCAGTCTTCTTGTGTCACTGTCCTGCTTTCACACACATGAAGCGATTGCAAATACCGTGCCTCGGGCTTCATCCTTTAAGGTGACTAGACCATTGACTAGACCAAGTGACTAGTCAAGCTTCATTTTTCACCCCCTGTGATCAAATTAGTTTTTGTTAAGTTAGTTAAAGTGTCTCCTCCCTTTTTTTTTTTTTTTTTTGGTCTCATTCCTCTTGGGAATTTTAAGAGGAGAGGGAAAAAAAACCTGAACACTAACCCCCAAACCCACTTTAGTTGTGAAAATATAGATAGTGCCATGTTTACCAATTGCTCATTTTTCATATAACAGAGGTGGGGTGTTCTGATGTTTAGGGAGGTGCGTGTACATGCTGGGTCTTGTGCAGGGTGATGGTCCACAGTGAGGGCCTCAGGTCTGTCTGGTCATGGAAATGCGCTGGTATCATCTCTGTTGACGACAGTCTGCCTTTTTACAGCATTTGCCTTGGTCCTGGGTTACAGACCTTCTAGAAGTAACACCATCATTCTGCTCCTACCGCACGGTTTCTAGACCACACAGGTGGTTTACCAGGAGCCCAGATTGGCATGGGAAAACTTAGGGTCCTCATCTTAGTACATTGCTGTCAAGTCTTAACTGATTCATAGCCGACTCACAGCAGGTTTTCGGAGGCTGTGAGGGGAAGACTGGAGGATATTGTTCCTCTTTTTCCTTAGAGCCCCAGGTGGATTTGAAGTGTCAGAGACACACAGCCTTTGATTTAGCATCACAGCTTCCTATAGACAATGCCTCTGGAGCTCTCTAGGGTCCGCGTCAGGTGACTCCACATTTAGGGAAGCTCACATGTCTGGATTAACGTTGATGGCATGAAATTGTTGATTCCTGTGCATAGAGATGAGTTTGTTGTGTGAACGAATGCTCGCACGGCCACCTGAAGTTGCTGTTCCCTGGAATGGAAATGAAAACACAGAATATTCTCAGTACTTTGTTCACGTTGCTCACCAGTCACTGCTGGAGGTCCAGCCCGAGGGGATTACTGCCTCTCTTCAAGTTAGCCATGCAGGCAAATTCATCCCACAGGAAAGATCTGGGTCTGTCACAGATGCGTGCTGTGAGGGCGGACAGGCACAAGGGCCCAGGAGGAGATCAGCAACACGCAAAAAAGGGGATCAGCCAGGGGCTGTGGAGTGTCATGGCCAAGAAGAGAGGGAGGACCGTATCCGAGTTCTCTGACTTTCTGCTACATCAGATCGGCCTCTGGTTGCCAACGGGTTATGTTTTCTGAGTATTTAGCAGCTTGATTCTACCTAGAAAGCGGCCAATTCTCCGTAGGTTTCTATGAGATCCATGGTGCTGTATTGTCTGATTTATTGCCTCCAAGGAGCAGCCAGGTTTAACCCTCTCCAGGATGAATCTGTTTGTTCTCTTAGCAGTCCATGGTACTCTCAATACTCTTCTCCAACATCACAGCTCCAAGGCATCAATTCTCCTTCTATCCTCCTTGGTCGTGGTTCAGCTCTCTGATGCATAACAAGTGATTGCAAAGACCTGTACCAGATGCACCTTTGTCTCCAGAGACCTACCGTTGCTCTTGAGTACTTTAGAGAGGTCCCTAACAGCAGAATATACACACACGCACACACAAAGCAAAACCTACTTAAACCTACTAGTCAAGTCAAATTTTGCCTCGTACTCGCCCTCCAGCAACTTCCTGTGACTGTACATCTTTACTGGAGGAGACTGTCAGTCTGTCTTGTGCAGAATCGCTGGTGGATTCGAACTGCTGATCTGTCAGCAGCCCTACATGTTATGCACTGTGCCACCGGGTGTGTGTGTGTGTGTGTGTGTGTGTGTGTGTGTGTGTGTGTGTTTTGTTGGTAGAACTGACTCATAGCTGACAGTTGACTGAGTTTTCAGAGGCTGGGATTCACAAGGGAGATTGCTCATCTTTCTCCGTCAGAGCAGCTGGTGGATTTGAACTGTGTGCCTTTGGGTTGTCAGTGTACCTCCTTATCATCAGAGTTTCCTGTGTGTATATGTGTATGTGTGTGCATAGACACACACATATATAATCTCAAAGCTCTTTAGAAAAAGGAGTTTTTTTTTAAATCTGTATCAGTCCAACTTCGTTTTCAAAGCTCTTACCTTATCTATGTTTATATTCACTAATTATTCTAAATGTCTGAATATTAGAAAAAGTAAATAGAATTTTCCAAATGTAACAGTGCTTGCTAGGAAATTAGACAAGTTTCTTTCCCCTTGTTTTTCTTTGTCTCTGACATGGTAGTATTTGATTTAACTCATAGAGAGTGTTTGAGTCATCAAGAATGGCGGACAAAGTAAAATAAGCTCATTTCATCTACTTTTTTTTTTGGCAGTCTATGGTCTATTCAATATTTTTTTAAATAATTTTAATGAACATTTACAGAGAATTTGGATTTCCATTCATTCATTGCTGCACTTCTCTCCCCACCCAGCCCTCACCCCCCGCCCCTCATCTATTTTTTTAAATAAGTGTAATTTTTTTCTGGCTTTTAATTGGATGTTATTGGAAAAGTTTCAAAATGGAAATGAAATTACCACGATGGTATGATTCATTGCCTCTCCTCCAACTTCTCTGTTTATTTGAAGTTCTAAAAGTAGCCCCAGTTAGCATCTTACAGCACAAGTGCATGCTGGGAACTCTGTGGGCACCCTCTTCAGTTTGAAAGGGCAGGAGGGGAGATGGGCATGTGGGTACAGTCCCTGGATCGACGGCAGGACACTTTCTGGAGAGTCATTTCTGGTTTTTTGCTCTACCTTATCAACTTCTATTTTATTGCAATTAATGTGATTAAGATCATTTTTTCATGTCATTTTCAGGTACAGGGAGAATACAAGAGAGAAACTAAAGAATTAGGGAGGTTTGTTTTTAAAAATAATTATAGCAAAATTAGTGTGTTTTGGTTAATGGATGGCAACATAATTAGCAAGAGAAGTTTAAGTAAATATTTTTAAGTATAAATTATCTCTAGGGAGCGTTTAAAGATTATTGTATCATATGGGGAACATACATGTAAGGCAACCGAAGAGACTGAATTACATCAGAACGCATTGTTTGTTGGTAATTCGTCTTATAAAGCAGACTGTGGTAGCTTTGTGTCTGAAATTATGAGTTGAAGCTGTATGGATGTTTAGACTTCTGAAATACCAGAGATGATTTTGTTTTTCAGGAGCCTGTTTTGTTTTCTGTATTGTTTTTCAGTGAGTGTGTCCGTGATGTTGACTAGTAACCTTGTAGGCTTGTCTGTTGAGTGCCTCAATGTTGAGCCACAGAATGAGTTTTGTTCCAGGAATGGAAGGTGACCACGGGCCGTAGTGCCAGGCTTGCAGCAGCCCTCGTCGGGTTCCACATATTCCTCCACCCCCTGCCCTTTCTAGAACCTTCTACTGTGATTCCTTTTAAAGTGGTCAGCAGTGGTAGCCAGACACCACCCAGCATCTGGTCTCAGAGTTTTGGAAATCGACGTCCACGTGCTCTGTGCATCATTGAGGGAGTTCTGGTGGTAGGGAGCTTCACTGCAATCCCAAAGGCACGCGGTTCAAATCCACCAGCAGCTCAGCTGGAGAAGAATAGGCAGTCTCCTCGCATGCAGTTTACCGCCTCTGAAAACCCGCTGGAGTGCCAGATTTGTGCGGTCGGTTCTGACTCGACGGTACCAAACAACAGCACCATGCATCCTTTAACCAGTTGTTTTGTCCATCTTTGCTCTTCTTCCCTCCTCTTTGTCCTGGATGGGGTGAGGCCTGTATGTGCACTTAGGTGGTCACTTGCCATGTGTTCTGGACGGGGTGAGGCCAGTATGTGCACCTAGGTGGCCACTTGTCATCTGTAGGGTCCCCAGGAGTTGCTCACCAAAGCAGGTGTGGAGCATGGGCTCTGTGGACAGTGTTCTGCCCGTGAAGGCTTGTTTTGTAGTAAACTGTCCTGGTTTTGTTGCTCTTCCTTCCCCTTCTCTTCCTTTGCCACTGTCCCTCCCTGTCACCTCAACCACCCCGTCACACCCCCTGCGCCCCCCTCCCTCCCTCCTACTGACCTGCGGGGTCTCCGTCCCCAGGAGAACTGCCTGAACGCCGACGTGGTGGAGCAGATCTACAAGCGGAACCCGATCCTGCGCTACACCCACCACCCGCTGCACTCGCCGCTGCTGCCCCTACCCTACGGGGACATCAACCTCAACCGTGAGTGCCCGCTCGCCACACCCCCACTGCTTGGCCGTGACTCCCGGCGGCTCTAACGGCCTAGCTTTACCGTAGGCCCGAGGGGGCTTCAGTCTGCGGGAATTAGTGAACACGTACGTAAAGGACACATGTCCTCCCTCCAGCAAGGGTCGGCAGAGCTTGGTCACACTGAGAGCGAGCTCCTCCAGGGAGAGGGGGAGCCCAGAGGTCCATCCTCCCCAGGGACTCAGAGGACCTGTCCCCTTGGCAGAGAACCAGATCCTAACGAGCTCTTCATCCCAGATATGAACCCGAGAGACTAAATCGTCTGCTGTCGAGTTGATTCCAACTCCTAGTGACCCTCTGTCAGGTTTCTAACGCTGTAATTCTTCTCGGGGGCACACTGTGTCATCTTCGTGCTACAGAGCTGCTGGTGGATTCGAATTGCCGTCCTGTCAGTTACAGGGAGCACTTTCCCGCTGCCCCCCCAGGACTCTGTCTGCCCCCTTCCTCTCCTCCACCCTCCGATGGCCCTTCCGGAAGCCCTGTGTGACTCTGTCCCCCTGTCCCCAGTGCTCAAGGACAAAGGCTACACCACCCTCCAGGACGAGGCCATCAAGATCTTCAATTCCCTGCAGCAGCTGGAGTCCATGTCCGACCCCGTGCCCATCATCCAGGGCATCCTGCAGACGGGCCACGACCTGCGGCCGCTGCGCGACGAGCTCTACTGCCAACTCATCAAGCAGACCAACAAGGTGCCCCACCCCGGCAGCGTGGGCAACCTGTACAGCTGGCAGATCCTGGCGTGCCTGAGCTGCACCTTCCTGCCCAGCCGGGGCATCCTCAAGTACCTCAAGTTCCATCTCAAGAGGTGAGGCTCCGGGCAGGGGACCTGCGGGGCTTCACCCAGGGCGTGGGTCAGGGAGTCCTGGTGGACATGAAACTAGACTGGACGAGGTGGATTGCTAACAGAAAGGGCAGTAGTTCAAATCCAGTAGCCACTCCAGGGGAGAAACACAGGCAGTCTCCTCCTCTTTCTGATTTATACGCTCAGATACCCAACAGAGAGCGTCAGTGACTTTTTAACAGTGGGTTTATCAAGAAGTTAAACATAGCAGTTAAACGCACACCTGCTGACTGAAGGCAGATAGGTGGTTTAAACCCACCAGCCACTCCATGGGAGAGAGGGGTCTGCCTGCTTCTGGAGAGGTTGTATCCCGGAAGACCCGCCCAGGGGCCCTGCTCTGTCCTGGAGGGTGGCTGGGAGTTGAAATGCAGCAGCAGTGGGTGTTGTTTATCTGTTTTCAGTGCAGTTCATTGCTGCTTATGGCAGTGCAGACTCAACTCAGTGTCACCTGAGGAGACAAGCCAGGGGACCTGCTTCTGAGAGGTCACAGCCAGGGAGCCCTCAGGGAAGGTCTGCAGGGTCCCCACGGGGTCCGTGAGTTAGAATGGGCTCCGTGGCACCTGACAGCAGTATAGACTTGGCCGTTCGTGGGTCTGTGGAGAGAGAAATCCCTCCACATGGAGGCCTGCGTAGGCCGCGGTTCTGCATCCCCTCCTCCGCGCCGTCACTGGGGGCGTGTGTGCTGCTGAACCCATTTCCCAGACACAGACGAACAATAGACATCTGGCCATCTGTTTTCAGAAATCAGCTGATTAAAACTATGCCTCAGGATGGTCCACAAGGCCCATTTGGTGACGCAGGGCCAGGCAAGCGAGACTGTGACCCTGGGGCGAGTGTTGAGTCGTGGCGGCTACAAACAGCATCACTTTGGGGCCTCTGGGTCAGGAGCTTGGATCCCTAGAGTCAGAATATAGACGTTTTGCAAATTTTATTTTATTATTTTATTTTTTATTTATGTTTTTTATTATCTTATTTATTTTATTTTTGTTTTATTATTTTATATGTTGTGTTGTTGTTATGTGCCATCGAGTCTCGTGCAACTCATAGTGACCCTATGTACAACAGCCCTAAACTCTGCTCTGTCCTGTGCCAGTCGCACTGTCTCTGACACTCCCATCCCAATTACCCCAGTCACTGAATCAATCCACTTCATAGAGGGCCTTCCCCTTCTGCGCTGTCCCTCCACCCTCCTAAGCATGATGTCCCTCTCCTCACAACATGTCCAAAGTATGTTAGACAGAGCCTTAGAATCCTTGCCTCCAAGGAACAGCCAGTTTGACCCTCTCCAGGATGAATCTGTTTGTTTTCTTGGCAGTCCATGGTACCCTCAACACTCTTCTCCAGCACCACAGCTCAAAGGCATCAATTCTCCTTCTATCCTCCTTAGTCATTGTCTATCCTCCTTAGTCATTCATTGTCCAACTCTCTGATGCATAACAAGTGATAGCATTATAATATAGAAAAATGTATTCTTTTATATTAGTTAGCATACATTGTGTTTAACACTATCCTTCGTTCACCTTCTGTTTGATACAATCATTCCCATTCATTGTGTTTTTTAAACTTAATCACCATTTCAGAATCTCCTATGCCCACCATTACCCCTTCTTTCCAGATCCCCACCAGATCTTTCCCATTTCCTTTACCCCCTCTCTCTACCCACCAAATTGTATGAGCCTATGATTTCCCCCGACCCATCCTCATCTCTCTGCTCCCACCTTCCCTCCTTGGGGCCCCATCGTATTTTACTGGATAGTTATCTTTCTGTTTTTACAATAATGGTCTAGGACAGTATTGATCCTTAAGAGACTGAGTGAGTTCACTTAGCCTAATGTGCTGTCCAGTCCCTCCCAAGTTAGGTAGTAATTTTCTATATCATTGCTCCTGACTGCTCCATAGTATTTCATTGTGTGAATGTACCACAATTTCTCAGTCCATTCGATTATGATTGGACATTTAGTCTCTATCCATGTTGTTGATATGGTGAATAATCCTGCTATGAGCATAGGTATACAAATGTCCTTTTGTGTCTCAGTCCTGGTTTTCTCAGGATATATTCCAAGGACTGGAGTTGTTGTTTTTGTTAAGTGCCATCAAGTCAAGTATGACTCATAGCGACCCTCTGAACAACATATCTGAACCTAGTCCTGTCCTGCGCCATCCTCACACTTTCTGACACATAAGAGCCCATTGCAGCAGTCACTGTGTCAGTGCACCTGGTTGAGCATCTTCCTCTCCTTCGCCGACCCTTCACACTGCCCACCATCATGTCCCTCTCCAAGGAATAGCACCTCCTCGCAATACGTCCAAAGTATGTGAGGTGAAGCCTCATCATTCTTGCCTTCAAAGAACACTCCAGCTGCACCCTCTTCAAGATATATCTACTCATTTTCTTGGCCATCCATCAAAAGTTCAGTGTTCTTCTCCAACACCACAGCATCAGGTCTTTTTCTATTATCCTTATTCATTGTCCAGGTCTCGGATGCACAGCTAGTAATTGGAAAGACTATGGCCTGAATCAAATGCACCTTAGTCCTCAAACTGACATCACTTCTCCTCAATAATTTGGAAAGGTCCCTAACTTCAGATTTTCCCAGTGTAATGTGTCTCCTTATTTCCTGACTGCTTGTACCAAGGGTGTTAATTGTGGATCCAAGAAAGATGAAGCTGTTGACATCTTTAATCTCCTCCCCATCCATCATGACACTGTGTTCAGCAAATTGCCTCCCAGAGTGGTTGTACCATTTTATAATCCCACTAACAGTGTCTGAGAGTTCCTATCTCTCCACATCTTCTCCAACAATTATTGCTTGTTGTCCTGTTAAACTTTGCCACTGCTACTGGGGTGAAGTATTATCTCACTGTGGTTTTTATTTGCATCTCTTATTGTCAGTAACTTTGAGAATTTCTTTTTGTATCTGTTGACCATCTGAATGTCTTTCTCTGTGAAAATTCTTTCCGTCTTTCACCCATCATGTAATTAATGAGATTATCAGTTTTTGTTTTTGTTTTTTTTTGTGGAAGCCCTGTAGTAGTCTATAAACTTTTGTTATGAGACTTTTGTCTGAGATGGTATTGCCAAATGAATTTTTTTTTCCCCCAGTTAGTAGGTTTTCTTTTCACCCTGTTGGAAAAGTTTTTGATGAGCACAGAGATTTAATCTTTGGAAGGTCCCATTCATCCGTTTTACCCTCTCCTGGCTGTGTATTTCTGGCTATATTTGTCATCCTTTTCATACCATGAACTAAGCCTTCTCAGCTTGGTTCTGTTTTGTCTCATGATCTTTATGGTTTGGGGCTTTACCCTTAGGTCTCTGATCTATCCTGAGTTGTTTTTTTTGTATAATGTAAGCTTCAGCTTTCTGCAGGTATCAGTCCAATTTGGCCAGCACCATCTGTTGAAGAGTATGGTGTTTTTTTCATGCTACAGGTTTTGTTTCCTTGTTGCTACCAGTTGACAATAGATAGGTGGGTTAATTTCTGGGTTCTCAATTCTGTTCCATTGGTCTGTGTGCCTGTCTTTGTACCAGTACCGTGCTGTTTTGTATACTACTGCTGTGTAGTAGGTGCTATACCTCCCACTTCATTTTGTTTTTCAGAAGTGTTTTGCTTATTCGAGGTCTCTCTCCTCCCCATATAAACTTGCCAATTACCTTTTCTATCTCTTTAAAGATAATTTGGTATCTGTGTGGGAATTCCATTAAACCGTAGATTACTTTTGTTAGGATTGTCTTTTTCACTCTACTGAGTCTTCCTATCCAGGTCTTTTACTGTTTCTCACAAAGTATTTTGCAGTTTTCTTTGTATTGATCTTTTCTATCTCTAGTTAGGTTCACTCCCAAGTATTGCAATTTGTTGTTGGCTATTATAAATGGTATTGCTTTCTTGATCCTTCACTGTGTTTTCCTTATTACTGTTGTAGAGGAAACTCACTGATTTTTGGATATTGATCTTGTATCCTGCCACTCTATTAAATTGGTCCACTGGCTCAAATAGTGTTGTTTTGGTTTTTTTTTTTTTTTCAGTCATTGGGGTATTCTGTGTACACTATCATATCTTCTGCATAGACCAACAGTTTAACCATCTCTTTACTGATCTGGATGCCTTTTCTTTCTTCTCTTATTGCCTTAGTAAGCACTGCGAATACAGGACTGAGTAGGAGTGGTGACAGTGGGCATCCTTGTCCGGTCCCTATTCGCAAGGAGAATGCTGTTAGTCTTTCTCCATTGAGAATGATCAGAGCCACTGTCTTGGAGTTGATTGTGACTCATTGACCCTCGGTTGGGTGTCCAGGGTATAGTAATCTTTATGGGAGCAAACTGCCCATCTTTCTCCTTTAGAGCTGCTGGTGGTTTCAAACCGCCAACCTTTTGATATATTTTCAATCACTGCTACCCTCTTAGAGGGTGCCCTGGCAGCTCTGTGACAGAGAAGACCTGGCTGCATGAAGACGACAGCTTAGGAAGGCCCGTGGGCAGTTCTGCTGTGTCATGGGGTCACTGTGAGTCAACAGCACGCAGGACCGCTGTTTAAAAATAGAAATAGGAAAAATTTAAAAACGGAGTTATTTGTTCCAGACCAAACAGGTAGAAGGAATCTGACTCACATTGGAACTAACATGTGGAAAAACAGTTTTCCTTGCCAGTGCGAGGCCTCGCTCTGACAAGTATCCCAAGGTCTGCAAGGTGAGCTGGTGACAGAAGTGCTCGCCGTAAATCTGCCCAGTGGGTTTATTTCCACACTTAAGCTGAACCTGCACGGATTCTCGGCCATAGGGCTCTGTGTCTGCACTGCCGACCAGCAGAGGGTGCTAACGCATCCTCATCAGAGCCTCTGTCAGCCTGACACCCAGTGGCCACCACCGGCCTCGGTCCAGCTGCTGAATGGGTCTCATGTTTGTTTCCTAGGATACGGGAACAGTTTCCAGGAACCGAGATGGAAAAATACTCGCTCTTCATCTACGAATCCCTGAAGAAAACCAAGAGCAGAGAGTTTGTGCCCTCCCGGGATGAAATCGAAGCCCTCATCCACCGGCAGGAGATGACGTCCACAGTGTATTGCCATGGCGGGGGCTCCTGCAAGATCACCATCGATTCCCACACCACGGCCGGGGAGGTGAGAGGGGCTTGGTGGTTGGTTTGCAGGGAAGTCACCACCCGGCCGGGTCAGGAGCGCTGGGCACTTAGACAGGCTGCGCCTTAGCAGTGACTTAAGGCTGCTTAGTATAAGGGGAAACACAGTCTAACCTACTTGTGTCCCCTTAATAGACAAGCATCAGAATATGTATTAACGATGGTAGAGGCCAGGTTCAATGCAACTCACTTATCTGAGACACAAGCTTTAATCGGCTGAGTAGTTGCTGCTGGTTTCAAACCAAACCCCCATATATTGACTCCAGGGATTTTTTTCTTTATTTTTTCAACTTTTCTCCTATTGTGATTTGAATGAAAGTTGACCACGCATGCTAGTTCTTCATAAGTTCACTCACATACGTTTTATCTTATACCCTAAACTACGGTACCCGTGGTGTCTCGCCCACTTGGTCAACAGGGCTTCTTAAGCATTTTCACAGCCATCTGTGTCCATAGATATATAGAATGTTCGTCGACTCTGAAGATCACATTTTCTGTGGTGCTTTTAATACCATTTCTTCGTGGTAAATAGAGATGGTGAAACATTTAGCAGGTCTACATTCATTTTCTTTTTTAAAATAAAATTTTATTTTAATTGTGACTTTAGCAAATGTTTACAGAGAAATTAGCTTTTCATTCATTCATTGTTGTACATTTTACCCCCATGCCCTCCCTTCCCCCTCTCCTAGTTTACTTTTTTAAAAATATTCATTTGTTGTTGCACAATTAACTGATTTTCATCCCTCCTCCCCGCAATCCCCTTTGCAATGATGTACCTCTTATTCTGGGCTATTGTCGTACATGTAATACCTCATTATATATTTCTTTTAAACAGTTCCTTATACATTGTCTTTTATTATTATTATTTATTATTATTATTATAATTAATAATTTTAATGAAAGTTTACAGAGACTTTGGATTTCCATTCATTCATTGTTGCACTTTTCTCCCTGTCCAACCTACCCCCACCCCCAGTTGGCTCTTCTCTTTTTGAAATGTAAAAGAAAATTTCTTTCACTATTACACAGTCCCTCCCCCCAAGTCCACTCCACTACACAGCCTTCGTTTTGAAAAGTAAAAGAAAAATTCTTCCATTGTCATACAGTCCCTCCCGCCAAGTCTACTCCACTGTGCAACCTTCATTCTGGACTCCTGTTATGACGATAATAGCAGGTCTACGTTTTTGGTGCACGTTTTCATCATGTTACACAGTCCTCACTACCCCTCATCAGCAGTAGAAGTCCCAGTCCGTCCCCCAAATACAGTGGCTCCCCACATCCGCATTCCCTGTCCTTTTGAAACTTACACTCTTCTAAAACCAGCTGGCTGGGAGAAGCCGGTGTGAAACTCAAGAAAGCCGTTCATGGCAGAGGAACGTCACGACACGTCACTGCCTGCTCTTTAAGAATTTCTTTATTTTCCTTTTTTTAAAACTCCCCTTCCAAAGCATTTACTTCCATGAGCAGTTCCTGGCCCCTTGACTTAGCATAGAACTTTTAAAAGAGCAGACACTTTACAGACTGGAGTTTGAAGAAAGTCTCCATTAATCGTCAGTCATGCTCTCCGCCTCTCCGGGGCTTGCACCCCTCATGCACAGGAAGACATTTCCAGGACAGATGGCAGTTATTGTTTGGAGTTTACAGATCCATTAGACGAAGGCAGGGCTCTGCAGTTCTAGGGTTCTCCCAGCAAGTATACGTCTACAGATTGGCTGCTATCCACTTACCCAGTGGGCCATGAAACCCATCTTCTTTTTGGCAGGGAAGAGGGAAAGCTGGTTCCAGCAGAACCAGTGAAAAACACTGGCTTTGAAATCCTGATGGGCCACATGCAGGAGGGACCCTTTAGGAAGTGCTTGGAGCCTCTTTTGAGCTCCGATGGCAGTCCATAGTGTGGCATGCTGCTACCTAAAAAGCAATGCATGCATCTCTGGTGGTTCAAATCCACCAGCTCCTACACAGAAGAATACTAGGCACTCTGCCATTAAGATTTGCTGGCTCTGAAACCCAGTGGAGGGTCTCTGTGCCCTGAAATCAGTCAGCTGACCAAGAGTTACTTGAGTGCCAGCAGTGTCCCTCTCAGCTCAGACGGGGGCACAGCTAACGGCATCCACTGGACCAGGCTCTGAAGCTGACCACGCCCACCCATGTCTGTCCCTCAGGTGGTGGAGAAGCTGATCCGGGGCCTGGCCATGGAGGACAGCAGGAACATGTTCGCCTTGTTCGAGTACAACGGCCACCTGGACAAGGCCATTGAAAGCCGGACTATCGTGGCGGACGTCTTAGCCAAGTTTGAAAAGTAAGTTCCCCCCTACCCATGCCACTTGACTAAGAAGTGGCCGAACGCTTGAACTGTGGTTTTCTGCTTCCCAGCATATCGGGAGTTGGTTTCAGGAGAGTGGAATTTGGGCCAGTTTTGTTTTTCTGATCACTCTCCTGGCTGCTGATCCGCTTTCCGAGATTCTCAACCAGAAGCTCTGTCTGAATCATGATTCTCCTCTCCTTTCACTTGTTGTTTGTCTTATAAACCATCACTTTAAGAGGCCCTGATTCTTAGCTTTCCACTATGTTGTTAACTTCAAAACCAGGCCAACTCACAAACCTCAGAACTGCATACCGTCTCTCTTAGAGCTTCCTTCGGGTCCTGAGGGGTGTGTAGCCATCAAGAAGGCGTTTCTGACCCACCTGGTAGTCACAGAAGAAAGGCGTGGGGATTTGCGTGCGTTATCACAGCCAGGCACGCCCTGTGTGCAGAGGGTTCAGCTCTGAGCCCGCTGGGCCTGGGAGCCAGAAGCATGGCATCTCTTTGGCTTTTGAATTTTTTAACCTGTAATGTTTACCCTATGATTCTGAGATCCCATACATATCTTACATCCCGTATTTTACATACCGAAGAAATAAAAATCCCTGCTAGGTATTAACACAGGCCTCACTCAACTCTACGGAGCGCTGGCGGCAGCATCATGATGTTGTTGTGAGTGCCATTGAGTAGAGTACGACTTACAGCGACCTTGTGAACAGTAGGTCAGAACTCTGTTCTATCCTGTACCATCCTCATACCTCCTAACACATTAGAGGCCGTTGCAGCAGTCACTGTGTCAATCTGCTTGGTCAAAGGTCTTCTTCTCCTTTGACGACCCTTCACAGCATCGTGTCCTTCTCCAAGGAATAACACCTCCTAGCAACATACCTAAAGTTTGCTAGGTGAAGCCTCATCATTCTTGCCTCCAAAGAGCACTCTGGCTTTACCCTCTCCAGGACATATCTGTTTTTATAGCCGTCCATGGGGTGTTCAGTGTTCTTCTTCAAAACACCACAGTTCTTCTTCTGCCATCCCTGCTCATTGTCCAGCTCTCAAATGCTTAGCGAGTGATCGAAAAGACCATCGCCTGAATCAGATGCACCGTCGAGTCAGAACTGACCCATCGCTGACCCTCCAGCAGACTTTCAGAGACAGTTAATCACACGGGAGGAGACTCCCCATCCTTCTCCCACGGAGCAGCTGTTGGTTAGACCGTCACAAGTCTCCCTACTAACACGAAGGCTGCATGCCTCTGGATGTTCGAATCCACAAGTGACTCTGAGAGAGAAAGAGAGGAAATCCCTTCCACACACAATTCACAGCCTCCAGCAAACCTACTGAAAGCCCAGCGGAGGGTCACCTGTGGGTCAGAACTGACTTGGCAGCAAGGAGTTTAAGTCTTTTATAAATATTATTGGCGCTGAGGGCTAGCAGAAAGTGTGGAGAAATAGCATTGATTCCTTTTCATCCCCATTCTGCTCAGCTAATTAAATAGGGGTCTTCCGAGTGGTGCATTAGCAGGTTAATTAAAAACTGCCTGTTTGTTTCCATAGTGTGAGGCCAGGGTGCAAGTGTGTTTTTCCTGCTGGTTAATTAAAGTTCCTGAGGAGCTCCGATGAGCTTTTCTCCTCTGTTCTGGGCCCCCTCGCCCTCCATCCGTCTCCACCCACCACTGTCTTAGGAGCTGAGGCTGAATGCTCGGGTCTCTGTGGTTTACCTCAGTCTGTGATTGGCACAGGGTATTTGTGCTTGGCCTCTAATCAGAAGGTTGACAGTTCGGACCCACCCAGCAGCAACATGGGAGAAAAGCTTGGTGTTTGGCTTCTCTAAAGATTAAACCACAGTCCAGATCCATTGTCATTGAGGTAAATCAGCTTTTTTTTTTTTTTACCCTATAGCATAAAGCAGAACTGCCCCATAGGATTTTGAAGATTGTAAATCTTTATATTAGTCTGGAGACTAAGGTTCACTTGATCCAAGCCATGGTCTTTGCAATTACTTGCTATGTGTCAGAGAGCTGGGCATTGACTAAGGATGACAGAAAGAGAACTGATTCCTTTGGGCTGTGGTGCTGGAGAAGAGTACTGCTCGGAGAACAAGCAGGTTCATCCTGGAGAGGATTAAACCAGGCTGGTCCTTGGAGGCAAGGATTTTTTTTTTTTTCTATAATTATATTTTTTAATTTTCATAAACATTTACAGAGATTTTGGGCTTCCACTCATTCATTGTTGCACTATTCTCTCTACCCTCCTCCCAGTTTGTTCTTGTCCAAATGCCACAGTGCTTGTCAAAGCCAGTTCTGATTAATCTTCTTTGTCAGTGTGTCCTTTGCCATTCCCTATTACTCCTCCCTGAGAGAGACTTCACCCTGAGTCATAAGGAAAAGGGGATGGCGTATTCTCTTAGCTACTTCCTGCTGAAAAGGGACGCTGTGGGTTTCATGGTGAAGATCTTCTCTCACTACTCTAAAGGGCCCCTTTGGCAGTAGGAAACACATAGACTATTATGGAGATTGATTTTGGAATTTAGATGCACTCTTATTGATTGTGCTTGGCCGTACATGTTCATATCCTTGAAGATGTATCATGGGGGTGTTGCAACCTAGAAGACACAAATTTGACTAACAAGTTATAAGTACATGAGTCAAAAATTATGGAAAAGTAAAAGAAAAGATTGTTTCATTGTTTTACAAACCCTCCCCCAGGTCCCCTCCACCATGTAGCCCTCGCTCTAGTCTCCTGTGATGACAGAAATACCCAGTTATATCTCTCTTTTAAACGGTTCTCTCCCTCCTCTGTTTCAGTGCAGTATACATTATTGAACCCATCTTACTCAGTCTCTCCCCAACCCCAAGGACAGTCCCATTCTACAACAGTGGCATCATGTAATATTTGTCCTTTTGTGACTGGGATATTTCACTCAGCATAATGTTCTCCAGAGTCAACCATTTTGAATAATATTGCATGAGTTCCTTGTTTTTTAATGCAGCATAGTATTCCATTGTGCGAATATACCACAGCTTCTCTAGCCATTCGTTTGTTGATGGGCACTTAGGTTGTTTCCAACTCCTTGCTATTGTGAACAAAGCTGCAGTAAACATGGGTATGCATATATCTGCTTGGATGTCAGCTATGGTCTCTTCAGGGTATATTCCCAGTAGTGGAATTGCTGGGTCAAATGGTATCTCTATTTGCAACTTTTTGAGAAAGCGCCATACTGCTTTCCACAGGGGTTGCACCATTTTACACAGACATTCTTTGGACATGTTGCAAGGAGGGACCAGTTCTTGAAGAGGGATATCATGCTTGGGAGTGTGGAGGGACAGAGAAAGAGAGGAGGACCCTCAATGAACTGGATTGAGTCAGTCACTGGAGTAATGGGGATAAGTGTGTCGGCGACAATAAGATTGACACAGGATAGAGCAAAGTTTAGGGCTGTTGTACATAGGATCACTATGAGTTTCAAGCGACTCGACGGCACATAACAACAACAACAACAAATCTTTATTGAAGCATGTTCTCCCGTGGATTAACCAGCAGGCTTGAACCTCTGACTTTTGGATTAGTAGAGCAAGCGCTTTGACACCTGGGTTCTTCATGCCGTATGCAGCAAAGCTGGCCCTAAGGAGTCATGTCACACATACGATCACCAGGAGCCACAGCCGCCTCCTGGCCAAGGGCGTGGGTCGGCCCCGTGCGTGGAGGCCTGCCTGGCTCTGTGCGTGGAGGCCTGCATGGCCGAGGGCGTGGGTCGGCCCCGTGCATGGAGGCCTGCCTGGCTCTGTGCGTGGAGGCCTGCGTGGCCGAGGGCGTGGGTTGGCCCATGCGTGGAGGCCTGCCTGGCCGTGGCTTGGGTTGGCTCTGTGAGTGGAGGCCTGCGTGGCCAAGGGCTTGGTCAGCCCCATGCGTGGAGACCTGCCTGGCTCTGTGCATGGAGGTCTGTGTGGCCGAGGGCTTGGGTTGGCTCTGTGCGTGGAGGTCTGCCTCACTTCAGGTTCTGCATCTCCTTCCTCATCTCCCATAGGCTGGCTGCCACGTCGGAGGCAGGAGACCTGCCGTGGAAGTTCTACTTCAAACTGTACTGCTTCTTGGACACAGACAATGTGCCAAAAGACAGCGTGGAGTTCGCATTTATGTTTGAGCAGGTAAGAGGAGCAGTGGCAGACCAGGTCTTCCCTGGTGCCCGGGGCTGAAGCCCCGATGCTGCACCGTGCACAGGACCTGCTGTTCCTCAGATGTGGCCTGTGGCGGGAGCACCCCCCACGTGCAGAGACAAGTGTCCGTTTGTAGGACTTTTCCCTTTTGTTTGCACTCCTGGGCCAGCATTGATCCTGGTAAGGGGGAGGGAGGAATCAGAACACTATCCCCAATGTGGTACGTACAAGGTCTCGGCTTCTGTAACAAGCAGACGACCCCCCTCCTCACAGGTGAAGCCTTCCGAAGCCCTGATTCTCACTGGAGGGGCAGGCCCTCTCCATGTCGTCTCTGGGGGGCCAGCTTTGTCTTAGCTTGTAGACTTCTTTCTGTGCTGGTCTTCTGTGTGGGTGCCTCTCAGGAGTGACCCCAGCCCATGAGAGGGCCTTGTTAACATCACACCCTGTTCCCCCCACAAGGTGCCATCCACAGCCCTGGGGGGTGATGTTTGGGGACACGAGTCAGTCAGCTGATTCAGTCAGCGACGTCTGACAAGGAGAAAGTTCTGGCCGTGGAGGAGGCGGGGGGAAGGCTGCATTGGGACGTCACGTAGGATGTGACCCCCTGGACATCCCGCGCGTGATGGTACTGTCTTGAGTTAAGCCTCCGGCCCCTCTTTCAGGCCCACGAGGCGGTGATCCACGACCACTACCCGGCCCCGGAGGAGAACCTGCAGGTGCTGGCCGCCCTGCGTCTCCAGTACCTGCTGGGCGACCACACGCTGCACACGGCCCTGCCGGCCCTGGAGGAGGTGTACTGCCTGCAGAGGCTCCGAGCCCGCATCAGCCAGTCCACCAAGACCTTCAGCCCCGGCGAGCGGCTGGACAGGCGGCGGACCAGCTTCCTGGACGGCACGCTGCGCCGCAGCTTCCGCACGGGCTCCGCCTCGCGGCAGAAGGCCGAGGAGGAGCAGATGGTGGACATGTGGGTCAAGGAGGAGGTGTGCTCCGCACGGGCCAGCATCGTCGACAAGTGGAAGAAGCTCCAGGGCCTGAGCCAGGAGCAGGCCATGGTCAAGTACATGGCCCTCATCAAGGAGTGGCCTGGGTACGGGTCCACGCTCTTCGACGTGGAGGTGAGGACCTGTCACGGTCACGCGGAGGGCAAGAGAGCTCACCACCCACTCCCCCGACCACCCCTCAGTCTCTTCCTCCTGTGCAAAAAAAAAAAACAAACCCAAAATACTGCCATGAACCCAGTTCCTACTCGTAGCGACCTTGTAGGACAGGGTAGGACCGCCCTGTGGACTTTTCTGAGCTGTGGGTCTTCATGGGCGCAGATGCTTTCATCTTCCTCCCGTGTTAGAACCACTTACCTTCTGGTTGGTAATCAAGTGATTTAACCACTGCACCAACAGCAGTGAGGCTGGGAAGGAGCTTGATGGAGCTGCCTTGTGTTTCCAGGTCCCGAGAGGTTTCCACCTTTGACGGGGGCACGTCCACTCTTATCTGTGTTGGAGGAAGATATTTTGACTTTTCCTCCTCTGGCAGGCTCCCACTTTCTTAGATTTTATTGCATTAGGAATGAACAGATAATGACAAATTGGCCCATCCTTGAAACATCTCTTGCTCTGTCCTAGGGTGGCTGTAGATAATTACAGCCCAAGACTGCTAGGAGGAAAGAACCTCTTTTTTAAGAGGGGAAACCCTTTAATTGTATGTACAGTTAGGGAATTCTAGTGGTGTGGCCCGGGAGAGCTGTGCTGTTGACCCAGAGGCCAGTCTGTGGGACAGCTCAAGTCCACGGCAGGGGAAAGATGAACAGTTCCCTCCCGTGAGGTTTACAGCCTCAGAGAACTGGTGAAGGGTCCACCATGAGTCAGTTCAGACTCAGCTGCAGTGGGTTCCATACACAAGGCACTCCAATGGCATGGCCCTGCTTACAGGAAGGTCAGTGGTTTGAATCCGCTTAGTAACTCCAAGGGGGATCAATGGGCAGTCTCCCCAGTAAAGAGAATGCAGTCCCAACAACACTCTGGGGAGCGTGTGTGAGTTGAAATCAGCTTTATGGCCACAAGTTTGGTTTTATATGTACAAATGAGGGTCTGGTGCTGTCATTCCCCAGCTGGTCATTGGTTTGAAGCCACCGGCTGCTGCATGAGAGGAGACCTGTTGGTCTGCTTCCATAAAAATCCAAGACCAAACCCACTGTCATTGTCTCAACTGACTCCTGGGCACCTTCCATTGGGTTTGCGACTGTCCCATGGGACAGCCAGTGGGTGCCTTCCATAAAGATTCCCACCTAGGAGGCCCTGTGGGACTGTTCCGCCCTGTCCTCCAAGGTCTCTGAGCCACAGTCAGCTCACCGACAGTGTGATTGATGGTGTTTATTCATTTCCTGAAAAGGGGCCCTGGTGGTGTGAGGGTAAAACCCTCAGCTGCTAGTGCAAAGGTTGGGGTTTTACACCCACCTGGTGGCACCAAGAGAGAAGAGTCCTGGCAGTGAGCTGCTGTCTGGGCTGCCCTGGGCACCCAGCGGGGCAGTTCTGGTCTGTCCTGGAGGGTGGCTGTGAGTTAGAACAGACCTCACAGCAGTGAGCTGAGTTTAAATTGTACACATAGAGTGTTCCACGTGTGTGTAGGGGACCTGATGGCCCCCCGGCCTCTGACTGCCTCCCCTGACTGTGTCCACAGTGCAAGGAGGGCGGCTTCCCGCAGGAGCTCTGGCTGGGCGTCAGCGCCGACGCCGTGTCCGTGTACAAGCGCGGCGAGGGGCGGCCACTGGAAGTCTTCCAGTACGAGCACATCCTGTCCTTCGGGGCCCCCCTGGCAAACACCTACAAGATCGTGGTGGATGAACGGGAGCTGCTCTTCGAGACCAGCGAGGTAAGAGGCCGGCCGAGCACGCCTTTTTGCATGTGGCCACAGCCAGGCGAGAACCAGAACCCCTACTTTCTGACACGTCCGGCCGATGGTGTTCGTTTATTGTTTAATTTTAAAACGTGGGAAGACAGCATGGTGGCAGGCTACTCCCCGCCCACAGTGGGTCATCCCAGGTACCTTCTGTGGACTGCAGTTCTCTGTGTGCTTGTATCGTGGAGGACTGTGATCCCCAGGGCCCGTGGGGTCCTGGCTGTGGAGAAACGAGCTGAAAGGCAGTGGTACGCTGTGGATGTCAGAGCACGTCGAGCTTGACCTTGTGACAGCAGAGGGCACGAGCAGGGAGTCGGAGCTGTAGGCTTGAGCTCCTCGTGCAGAAGGACAGATGTTAAAGACCGTGTGGTCGCCTGCGGCCGTAGACCGTTATCCTGCCCCATCAGAACCCAACCGTGCTTGAAGCCCATTGTTGTCATTCGGTCAGCCCATCTCCAGGGCCGTCTTCTTCTCTTCCATTGACCTCTGAGGACTGACCCCTCCTGACAACAAGCACAAAGTGTGTGAGATGACCTTTCACCACCCTGGCCTCTAAGAAGCACCCTGGCTGCACACCCGTAAGGCAGACGTATCTGCAGACGTATCCGTTCTTTTGGCCGCCCATGGGATATTCATTGCTCTTCTCCAACACCACAGCTCAGAGCCAACAATCCTTTCATCTTCCTTATTATCCATATGTTGTTGTTGTTGTTGTTGTTGTTAAGTGCTGTCGATCTGCAGGCGACTCATAGTGACCCTGTGAAGGAAAGTCCTCACCACTTGGGCGCCTTTCATCCTCTCTTCAGGTTCATAGGGTTTCCGAAGTGGATGCCACTCCTCCTCCTTCCAAGCTTGTTTTCGTTGAAGCTCCACCTCACTCTCTGTCCGCATTGGGTAGCCAACCATTAACGCATTTGACACATCAGTGTCACAGTGTTCAGCCTCACAGCAACCACAAGTGACCACAGTACAGCTACTTGTACACCAGGGCTGTACGACCTAGAGGAATGTCTGAACAGAAACAATGAAAGACAGGCCCGAGGGCCTTTTTGGGCTTGAAGCCCTCTGCTGCTGCCTTAAACCCTAGGCCAAGCCTGGCTTGCCTGGCTCCCGTATATGCATATGAAAAACGCATGGTACAGTGAAGCAGAAGGTCAGCAAAAGAGGAAGACCTTGCAAGACATAGTTTCATACCATCTTCTTCAGCCAGGGGGCAGCAGTGGGCTCTGGCACAGCAGCCACGGTGGAGGTGGTGCAGACAGGCAAGCAGGTGGCATAGCTCTGCTGTGGGTTGGACCCAGCTCTGCGCCAACTGACGATGGTTACCCACCGACCAGGCGAGAGTGGAGGCAGACGGCTGTTCTTGGCACAAGTTCACAGACGAAAGCCTCTGAAGATATGTGCCAGTAGTTCCAAGTTTGAAAAGTTTACGATAGTAATTGTGCAAGAGGTCTCGGGAGATACCTGGAAGGAGGCTGTTGGCAGCGCAGATGTTGTGAATGAAGCATGGCCCCCACTCGTCTCTTGGGGTGGGGACACGAGAAGAGGTGCAAGAGGCCTCGAGGGCCCATTGGGCAGGGAGTGGGGATGCTGGGAGGTTGGGCTGACAGGCAGTGAGGAGGAAAGCTTGGGCCTTGATGGGTGGGTCCCAAGCCCCGGGCAGCCTCAGGATTTGGTTACATCCAGTAGACGGGGAGCTGCTGTCCACCGTCGGCTGAGGCAGGTAGTAAGGGCAGTTGTTGATAAATGGTGAGAGGCCACCAGCTTGGAAGAGGACAGAGATGCCAAGGAAAGGGTTAGGAGGCTTCCCGCGGACCCTGGATAGCAGTGAGGGGACGCACGCCCCAGCGATGGTGATGAGAAGTCCGTGGGAGGAAACCAGCAGCTGTGGCATGGTTGAGCGGGCACAGAGCTAAACAGGATGTCTGGGGCATGTCCGGGCCTCAGGCTTGCTTCCTCAGTCACACCTGTGGGGTGGCCTGGAATATATACTCCTTTCTAGAAGGCTCTGATAGTGGCCTTTGTTGGCGGACAGTATTTGGCTGAAGTGGAGAAAGTAACCCCATAAGAGCAGGCTGGCTGTTTTCACAGGAATCGACAGTGTGCAGGGCAGTGTGGTGTCTGTAGAAAATCACACGCCTCCTCCCTGACCAGGAATGGGTGGGAACCCCAGAGTGTTGAACCCTGAGCCCTGGGTGCACCCTCAGGTGGCGGAAGGCAGCACCCGTCCTCCCTGACCAGGAACGGGTGGGAATCCCCAGAGTGTTAAACCCTGAGCCCTGGGTGCACACCCCTCCTTTCTGACCAGGAATGGGTGGGAACCCCAGAGTGTTAAACCCTGAGCCCTGGGTACACACCTCTCCTCCCTGACCAGGAACGGGTGGGAATCCCCAGAGTGTTAAACCCTGAGCCCTGGGTGCACACCCTTTCTTTCTGACCAGGAATGGGTGGGAACCCCAGAGTGTTGAACCCTGAGCCCTAGGTGCACTCTCAGGTGGCGGAAGGCCTCACCCCTCCTCCCTGACCAGGAACAGATGGGAACCCCCCAGTATTATACCCTGAGCCCTGGGTACACCCTCAGGCAGCGGTAGGCAGCACCCCTCCTCCCTGACCAGGAACAGGTGGGAACCCCCCAGTATTACACCCTGAGCCCTGAGTGCACACTGCTCAGGCAGCGGTAGGTCCTGTCAGTGCTGAGTGGGGTGCGTGTGGACATAGTGGGCTGACGGCCGCCCTCTGCTCCCCGCAGGTGGTGGATGTGGCCAAGCTCATGAAGGCTTACATCAGCATGATCGTCAAGAAGCGTTACAGCACCACACGCTCCGTCAGCAGCCACGGCAGCTCCAGGTGAAGCCGAGGCCCCCATCTCAGTGTCCGAGCGCACCTCCACACCGCCCGCCGCAGGCTCCAGTGTCCAGTGAGGCCGAGCGTGGAGCCAGCAGGCTTCGGGGAGGCCCTGGCAGAGGGAGGTGTCTGTGCGGGGCTGCTCACCCTGCCGGCTGCAGTGACCATGTACTCAGCTGTCCACCGTAACAGTCTGCACAGTTTCCAAAGCTTCAGTACTCCTCTGTGACACATGCCTTAAAGAGAAAGGGGCCAGGAGACCCTCGCTGCCACCAAAGCAGCCAGAAGTGCCTTACCCCGCGACCCCACACTAACCGGCCTTAAGTGTGCCCTGAGGGGCACTGCTCAGCAGGACATTGCACTAACCACCCCCCAGCCCGATGATGCCTCCGATCACGACAGGTGAGGGAGTGGGGGGCGGAGGGAGCCTGGGGGACAGGAGTCAGGGTCGGATTGCTGCTGGCAGCCATCCGGGCACATGCAGTGACTGGGCCCCTGGCTTCCTCTAAGTCTGCGCACCTGCCCGGGCCTGCGTGGACGCCGTCCACCTGCCACTCGCAGCCCCGGTTTCCTGAGGATTAAAGGCCCAGGGCAGAGGTGCCAGCTGGCAGCCAGCTTCTCAGTTCAGCCTCTGTCGTCTGTGGCTGCCTTGTGGGGCAGTTTCATGCACAGCCCGCATGCCTTTGGTCTCTCCGGTCCTTTGTACCTCCCGCAGCGCGTTGGGACTTGCCCTTGTCCGACATGGAGCGATCCTGTGTCCCAGGTCTGCTGTGTCAGGCACAGGGGTGCGTCCTGCCGGCGGCTGTATTTATAAGCCACTCTTAGCCCACCTCGGCGCCAGCGCCATGCGGGACAGTACGAATTCCGCATTCTTTAAGTTACTAAAGTATTTAAGTTTAAAGATCAGCTTGGAGGGGAGGCCAGACTCCGTCCCATCCCTCTGGATTCATCCAGATCTTCCACATAGCTAGAGAAGGAAGGTGCTGTATTCTTGGGAAAGCAGCACATGAGCGGTCAGATATCCCAAGGAGCCCAGCATTAAATGGTGAGGCTTGAACGCAATGCCGTGTACACATATTTTGCCCAAATTCCTAAGCGGGGTCTGAAGAGAGCACCTAGAAATAAATAGCATTATCTGGTCTGGAACTTTTTATTTTTATATGGAGAACCTGGAATGGCTCAAGTGAGCCGAGTCTTACCCACAAGGAATTTGCCTTACCCCTTTGGAAAACCATGCGGAATCATGCTTGTTGGCTCAAAGAAAGTCTGACAATAAAAGATATTAGCTAACATGGCGTGTGCTTCCTTTTATCGTTTGAAAGTACCAATAAATGGTACCAGGCGCCGTGGAGTTGAGTGCAGCCCGGCCCATGGTCACCCAAGTGCGTCGGAGGAGAGCTTTCCATAAACATCCATGCTCTTCATACAGCCAGGGTCTTTGAACCACAGGCGGCTCCAAGGTGCCTTGTCAGGGAGTTTTTCTTGCTTTGTTTGGGGGTTTAGGGCATTTCCTTGGTTTATGGGGCTCTGGAGACCTATTCCAGAGGGAGTTTTGCTGCTCACTCAAAGACAGAGCCTCTAGTGGTTCAAATCCACCCGCTGTTCTGCAGGAGGAAACCGGGCAGTCTCCTCCCGGGTGATTTACAGCCGCTGGAAACCCCTGGAGGAGCAACTATGAGCAGTTCCAACTGGACAGCAGTTAGAGATAGACGTTTGTTTAGTGCTTTTAGGCTTAAGATTGCCAAAGCTGTTTGTACCCCGTACTCCATTACAGTCTGCTGACGGCAGGTATGCGAAACTCCGGGTGTGATTCCAGCAACATCAGAAGATAAAAGGCGAAATAAAATAGCACACATCTGGAGGTGGCAAGGGAGGGTTTCTGTCACACACCCCTCTTCTGCCCAGCTCCAAACATGTCAGAGGCCTTCGTGTTAAAGCCTGGCCAGCGTGCTGCATCCCACTCCCTGGTCTAGCTGCCTGTGGACCCAGAGAACTCGGTCCTCTCAACCCCCAGGAATCCAGGGTAACCTGAAGTAACCAGGTATGAGACCTGTGCCCCAGAGGAGGAGGCAGTCGAGGTCTCTGGTGTACCCTTGTCTCTGTTCTCACTTTAGATCCTAGAGGACGGGGCCACAGTGCCCTTCTACTGCCTGTCCCACGCCGGTCCTTTCTCCCTCGTACCCTGGGAGGCTGTGTTTTCCACCCCGCCCCTAAGTATTTAGGAGCAGAGACAGAGAAAGATGAGACACTCCAAAACGTATGTGCTGGAAGCCCCAGAGCTGGGACTTCTTGAGCTGTAAGCCGGTGCGGGTCATAGCACTATTGTGTTTTTATTTAGAAACAATTAGAAATTCAGGATGCTGCACCAAGTTGTAGAATGAGGGTTTTAGCAGGTCCAGCTCCCTCAGGGGTCCCCAGGTTCATGAGTCCAGAACTGCTTCAGAGCCAGGAAGCCCACATGGGACATCAGTACTGTCCACGGGGAATTCCAGCCGCGTGTGTGTGTGTGTGTGTGTGTGTGTATGTACATACGCATGCGTGAGCGTGAGAGCACACATCCGTGTACATGAGGTTCAGCGAAGTTCAAAGCTGGTGCTTATAGAGAAAACCATCACAAAATGTTGACATCTCTCAGATTGACTTAGGTGATCTGACACTTTTTTAAAAAAAATTATTAGACAATTACATCTCAATGATAAGACAGACCTTCTACCTTGGAAAGGAAATGTGGAGAAGACCTGAATTTTTTTTTATTCATATGGTAAATCTTCCTTTTCTTCTTAGCCACAGTTCCCCACCCCACCCCCCCGTCCTATTGTTTTCTTCAGAAGCAATGATTTTTTTAACATTTTAAAACAGCCTTCCAGAAACATCTTCAGTTGTGCATGTATACTAAGTTTCTTTACATATGTTGTTGTTAGGTACATCAGGTTGACTGCAACCCATAGCAACCTATGAACAACAGATCTGAACCCTGTCCTATCCTGTGCTGTCCTCATCAACTCTGACACACTCAAGCCCATTGCTGCAGTCACTGTGTCTGGCTGGCTGAAGGTCTTCCTCTCTTTCTCCATCTCTCCACCTTTCCAAGCACGATGTCCCTCTCACAAGGAATAACCTCTGCTATCCAAAGTACAGGATGGAGGCAAGGATTCTGGGGCTTCGTCTGACATACTTTGGACATGTTGCAAGGAGGGACAGGTCCTTGGAGA